CAGGTCCTCCTGACTTCAGGGCCGGTGCTCCAACTCAACCTTTGACTCAAAAAGCAGCAGTTACACCTCCTGCTCGGGACCCCAAAGTCAAACATCCTACAGCTGACACAGCTCAAATACCTATGTATCAGCTCTAATTCTTATAATCTAGCCACTGTTCAGATTTTTACAATCTAGCCAACAGTTCACAGATGCTCAGATTCCTTAAGACTCTGGCTAATACGGCAGATCTTTAATAAACCTTGCTTTTGGCTGGAAAAAAAAAAAAGACCTATGTATCTTTTCTTTACTATTTCTGTTCAGCCCCGTCGGGGAAGTGTCTTAATGCCTTTTCCTCCAATCCTTGAAAGTACTTGGTAATCTGGACTGAAATTGGCTTAAAATGCTAATTCCTCCTGAGAAAGAACATGATGACTTGGACAAAGAGTAAGGTTTAAATGAAGAGCATCGCATTCTGCCCCAAGGGAAGTTTTGGACATAAGGGGGAGATGAAGAGAACAGGAAGACAACATGCTTGTAAGTCTATGAATAGGGAGGGCTTTGAAAAAGGAAATGGGAGGCAGCAAGGGGAGCCAAAGGAGGACCAAAGACAAAGTTCACATTTTTTCCCCTCAGGGAGACTCCAGAGGCAAGCATGATTTAGTGGATGGAATAATCCAGCATTGGAGTCAGGAAGACTTGGGTTCAAATCCTGCCTCAGATACTATGTGGCCCCAGGTAAGTCACCTAACATCTCTGGGCTTCAGTTTCCTCATATGTCAAGTGAGGGGGTGGGACTCAGTGCCCTTTAAGGATCCTTCCAGCCCTAAATCTATGATCCTATGATGCCATTTGTGAAGTCCCGAAGGACCAAATAACATAGAATCATAGGATTATAGATTAAGTAGAGCTAGGAGACCTCAGAGGTCATATAGCCCAAGCCTCTCGTTTTATAGATGAGGAAAATGAGGTCCAGACGGGTTGTGCTTTGCCCCATGTCACTTCCTATCTGTGTGACTCTGGTTAAGTGACTGGCCCTCAGTTTTCTCTATACTAGCCCCTTTTAAGGGCCTCAGGTCCAGATACTTCCCTGGGAGACTGCCTGGGTACAATGTCTGTCAAATGGGAAGTCTGCTCTCACACCAAATTAGCAACAGTCCTAGAAAAAGAGAAACATTTAGCAGCTCACCGTGGCAAAAGCTGACAGAGAAACTGGCTGAAGTATTCACTTAATGTTGCAACAACAGGGATCCTGTGGGATAATCGCTGAAAAACAAATGGCAATCCAAAACCCACCTGGTAACAGAAATGTATAAACTTCCTATCCAGTAGCATGAGCATTCTGGAACGTCCCACTATGGAAGCTGGCAGGGTCCTCTTCAGAGCTAAATAAACACTATTCTCTTTTTCAACATGAATATACAGGAAAACTGGGCATCCTGTTTTGTGCTATGATCCTTTGGTCATGTGAATATAGGGTACTTGATATTCCATGGCTAAGAAAATAAATGCCTACTCAGTAGGGATAGAAACCTATATTTGGGGGGCGGCTAAGTGATATAGTAGATAGAGTGCCAGACCTGGAGTCTTATCTTCCCAAGTTGAAATCTGGTCTTAAACACTTACTAGTTGTGTGACCCTAGGCATGTCACTTAATGCTGCTTGCCTCAGTTTCTTCATCTATAAAATGAGTTGGAAAAGAAAATGGCAAACCATTCCAGCATCTCTGTCAAGAAAAGGCCAAATGGGGTCACGAGAGCTGGACGTAACTGAAATGACTGACCAACAACAAAGAAAGAAAAGATAATGAAAGAGGCTGACAAGGCTGGAATCTAAGAAGCAAATTTACTCACAGCTTCAGTCAGCTCCAACTGGTCTGGGGGTTTGAGCAGCATCTTGGCTTGAGTCCACTCATCTGCCCCTTCTCCCACATCTGGGCCAGCGTCCTCATCCTGCACACACACACACAAAAAGACAGTATAGTTAATTTACATCCATAACTGGGATCTTGAGTTCTACCCATTCTGGAAATCATTCATTCTAATGCAAGTGCTCCAATTGGCCATTCTTGGTTGATCCAGCTCAGAAAGGACAAAATGTGTCTTAAAGAACATTGTTTTCACAAAGCCTCCCATGAACCTCATTTTTATCACTTTGTTTTTACTATTTAGGATTCAAAAGCTAAATTTCCTTGGCCATGTTCTTTTGTTTCAAAATGAGCTTATAAACTGCTAACATGTTATTATAACAAAGCAGCTCAAGTCTATGCTCTAATTGCCCCAAGGCACCGCAAATGACATCTAATTACTTTTTTTTTTTTTTTTGGTGTTAAAATTATTGTTACATAAGTTTCTAATCAGAATATTTTCAAACACACTTAGATTGAGTAATGCTATTTGGGGCATGGGTTGTTAGACATTCTTTCCCAGAACATTTTACACCCTAAAAGAAACAAACATCCAAGATTTGCTGCCCTCTGGCAGAGCTCATAGTATAAGTAGGTTAAACATCAAAATATATCATGCTGTTCATTCAACTATGAAAAACAGATTGCTGCAGTGATGGATCGAAACTTCCCTGCCTGATAGAGTTTCCTTTGATTAAAAAGCCAAACCTCTGATTAAAAAGTTTAAGGGTTCAAAGCATTTTCTGCCTTAAAGTTAAGTACTGTGATGATTTGTACTTAAATCAGGATGTCTTTTTAATTACAATTTTGTAAAGTCTACCATACATGGCTTGGGAAAATAGCCATCTTCTTGGGTCCAAAGGCAAATGTTGTTTCTGCAATGAAATAATAGTAATGATAATGTTTGCAAAGTACTTTGCATATATTATCTAATTTGACTGTAACAATAACCCTGTTAAGTAGGTGCTGTTATTATCCTCATTAACTAAAGAGGAAACTGAGGCACAGAGAGATTGAACAACTTGACCAGGATCACACAGCTAGTAAGCATATGAGGCCACATTTGAAAGCTGGTATTTCTGTCTCCAAGTCTAGTACTCTAGACACTTTATCTAAACAGTAAATGAACTGTGGAGAGATAAGTAATAGCATATTTCTTTCCTGATCCATGTGCAATAGGTCTATTGAAAGACTTATGAAGGTTCTTGTAGTTAAGCTAAATTTTGAATTTATACTTTAAGAGAGAAAGTAACATTTACTCCCTAGTGGTAGTTATTAGTTCAGCATGAGTAGAATTGAAATCGAGTGTGGATTTTCATCTCTAGAACCCTGTAGACTTTAAATCCTATGGTGCTGAGAGATGTTTCTTTCCTTTTACATAGCAAGAGGAAAAGATGACAGAATGGTATAGTAAAAATCCTCTGCTAGGAGAGGTGAACCTTGGGTTTAAACATGCCCTCTGCCTTCTACTAACCACATGATCTTTGGTAAGTTACTTAAGTTCTCTGGGCCTCAGTTACTCCACTTGTAAAATGAGGATAAAGACCTTACCCAGGTTGACCAGATAATCTCCTGAGGCCTCTTTCAGTTCTAAGATCTATGACTCTATAAGAACTGAGATTAGGAGGATATTTTTGCTAATAATTCTCAAATGTGAACAACAGGGTCTGGAATCAAAGTAAACTCTCTGAATAAGTTGCTCCCCTGATGATTGAGTTATAGTCTTATCACCTAACAGTCCAGCAGAGATGGATGAAAGCCTCTGAAGCAATCACTGTAAAACTACTTTTTGAAACTATTTTGCTCCATATATTTAAAAGGTTCAAAAGGGATAAAAGGATAAGATCAACCTAAGGTTAGATTTATATGCCTGTTATTTTCCTGTTGTCTCCATCTCCCCTTTACATCAAAATCTTCCCTCAGAATAGAATGTGATGCTGTTCATTTAAATCTAAATGTTCATCTAAGTCACTGTGTTCTTTCTCCCAGAGGAATTAGCATTTGAAGCCTATGTCAGTCCAGATGACTATATACTTTCAAGGTGAATTAATTAGTAACCCCTCCTCCCCAGCTTCTAGTATTCTCTTCCCCATAAATTGGCTTTGTATTTATTTTGAATATATTTATTTATATGTTGATAGAATTCAAGTTCCTTGAGGGAAGAGATTGTTTCATTTTTGTCTTTGTATCCCCAGTGCATGGTGAAAGGCACAAAGCAAAAATTTAATAAATGTCTGTTCATTGTTAAGACACCTCTAGTATTAGATGCAAAATAACTCTGACATAAACTTCAGGCTTCAAAAGCAAGTGAGTTGGGTGAGTATATTTGGTCACCTAGGTGACCATATCCTGATTAAAGGAAATGGTGTCAATTTGAAAGGACAGAATCAGAAAGATCATGATGAAATTACCTCTTGCTGAATTATTAAGACAGTAGGAGTAAGGATATGTTGATATTACTCTATAACCATGCATTTTAAACATCTATAATTATTGTAAAAAAAAGAAAAGAAAAGAAAAAGAAAGTTGTTATTTGTTGCTGACTTTTTGGGAATATAATCTCAAAAAGGTGAGATTCAAGCATGAGTCTGGGTCGTAAGTCCCATTAACCTGGCATGGGGAAATGACTAGATCCTCTGGTTAAGAACAAGCAAAGGTGCCCATTACTAGCATCTCTTGTCCCTTTATCTTAATGTATGTTTAAGAGCTTAATTCAATCAATGAGTAGAGAACTAGTGTCAGGCTCACCAGAGGACACTGATTCAGAATGAAAGAGAAATTCAGTCAGAGAAGGAAAGTCCATGCTGGCAGCAACATAAGGGAGCCTAGCCTCTGAAATAATCAACAAATTGGTCAATAAACATCTATTTATTAAGTTCTTGCCCTGTACCAAGCACTCCTGCTAAGCACTAGAGACAGAAAGAAAGGCAAAAACAGTTGTCTGAACTCAAGGAGATCACAGTCTAAGGTGGGAGATAATATATAAGCAACTATATACAAAAGGTCATTAAATTAAGAAATCATTAGTAACTTTGGAGAGAACAATTTTAGTCGAATGATGAGGTCAGAAACCAGATTGCAAAGAGTGAAGATGAGAGTAGGAGGAAATGCAGTAGAGGCATCTATCGTAGTTGTCCTTCTCAATGCATATAACTACAGAAAAGAGAAAGACAGAACAATAACTAGTGGGAATGGATGGATTTTTTAAGGATGGAGAAGAGAGGGGCATGTTTGTAGGCAGTAGATGGGGAGAGAATGAAAAGAGACAGAGAGTAGGGGTGATAGAGGAGGCAGTCTGCTGGAGAAGATGGGATCATTTGCACATGTAGAAGAGTTTGCCTTGTCAAAGACAAGGACCACCTCTTTGTGTGAAACAGGGGCAAGGGAGGAGAGAGTGAAAGTAGGCATCTCAGTGGTGTGAAATTCGGCACGGGTGAGGCGGGTGGGGGGGCGGGGAAGGGAGTTATCTCAAAATGGCCTCAATTTTTTCCAGTGAAATGTGAGGCAAAGTTCTCAGCTGAAACGATGAGGGAGGGTGAGCTGTGTGCGGTTTGAGGAGGGATGAAAAGATTTGGAAAGCCTCTGTGGTAAGTGGGATAGTGAATCAATTAGGGAGATAAAAAAAAGAATTGCCTTGCCACACAATGAAGGACCAGTTGACATTATGCAACATAACCATGTAGTGGAGCCAGTTAGCAACTGTTCTCTTGAGGAGCATAAGAATAAGAGGGAAAGCATTAGATGGTGAGAGTGATTCAAAGATGGGGATTGGCTAGGCTGATTGGTGATAGAATAAGGGAGCAAAGGACTTGAGAGTAAATAAGAATTTAATTCATTCACCAAGGGGTTAAGATGAAGAAGGGAGGAAAGTATAGCCAGCATTAGGGTGATGGGAAAAGAACTGGGGGTGGAAAATTGGAGGTCATGGTGAAGATGAAGGATTGAGGTCATAAGGCAAAGAGAAAAATGGAATGATAAAAGATCATGATCAGACAAAGAAATTTCAGAGATCATAAACATGAAACTCTTGTGGGTATGGGCAAAATCAAGACTATGAACATCGTTATGTGTAGCTAGAGTACAGTGGAAGAGCAGGTCATGAGAAATCAGTAAATTGAGGAAATGGGAAGTTAGGATGTTTGAGTGCACATATCAATATGTATACTGAAGTTCCCTAGTAGGAGGGTAGGAGTTGAAGATGAAAGACTATTAGCCATTCACTGAACTCAATGAGAAAGGAAAGACTATTGGGGGGGGGGGGGGTCAGTAGATGTGGAGAAAGGAAGGGAATTTGACTGATGGTCCAGCCCATGAGGCCTGAAGACCATGTAAGACAAAAGTGGAAGAAACAATTTAATCATCAATGAATCAGTCAGCCAAGATTATCCGGCTATTAGAATTTGCTTCAGGAAAAATTAGCCAAAACAAGAAAGGATAGGTCCAAGTGGGTGAAATAAACTTCTAGTACGCCAGAATATAAAAGTCTCCAAAAGATGAGTTAGTAGTAACTTGACAGAAGTCAAAGGGGAGATAGCTCTTCAGGCCCAGGGAGGGAAGAGTGCCTTTCACCTGTTAGTGGAGAAAGCAGAGAAAATGTTCCCAGGTCCAGAAGCCAGCAGTCTAAGCTAAGGTATCCCATGAAAATTATGAAGCTGGTGGAAGTATTTGCTTCAGTGTCTAGCCTCCCATACTCACAACTAAAGGGATGAAAGAACAGATTCTGGAGGTTTTAAACGTAACAGCCTTGGAAACCAGGATAACCTGAACTGATCTTAACATAAAGGGGAAAAAAAAAAAACAAGTGGAAGGTAGGCAGGATGAAGGAAGGACCTAAGAAAATGGAAGGTCTCAGGCCCTATAAATCAGTGCTTATGATCAGGATTAATTCAAAAGATATTTATTTTTGAAAACCTTTGTGCTCTTCATTTATCACTGCTCCCTGTGCATGTTTTCTCTAGAGTATCTTCCAATCAGAAAGTCTTGGTAGACAATAGGCTTTTTGAGGGCAGAGATTATCTTTCACCTTTTATCGTATCCCCAGTGCTT